GAACTCTTCTATTTAAATGAACGCAAAGAACGCGAATGGTGGCATTTAGCGTGCATTATTCTGGCTTTTATTTTTCTAGGTAGTAGATATCTTGTCATGACTGAACGTATCTGTTCCCGCTACACTTCATGGACAAATTTCCCTTTTGCTTACTAGGTGGCAGTCAGTTCGTGAAAGTCGGATTACAGAAGCGACATCAATAGAAAGTGGTTAACTCAGATAATTCAATAAGCCACATACAAAGTGTGAAACATGCCTCCTCGTAGATCGAGAAGTAAAAGGAAGACGCCACGCTTTACACCTGGGAAAGGACCCCAATACCATTTATACAGGAGTCTTGTTAGGCCCCAGAGCCTGATCTGGGCATGGGGGCTAAAAGAAACATCCTCTGGCCCTGTTGGTGATCAAACTCTGTCCAGTTCGCAGTTGGTCATTAGACTGACTGAGCTATCCCAGCTCCTCATACTGTTATATGATCCAGACAAAATTCAATATTTTTTTTTATTTATTTGTACGTTAATTATAACATTACTTTCACAGTGTAGTTCCAAAGACATTCCTATATATGTGCGCTCCATTTAGGAATTTTACACAATTAAGTACTTTTTAAGAATTTTTCTTGTACAATTTTGGGATTTGTTTAAAAAACAAATTCTACAAGTGTTCATGTCACTGGCATGCTAATATGTGCCTGCTCTGATAAGGTGGTGACTTAATGGTGTCTTTATCATTAGTGCGTGCCATGGTGGTCTAGCGGTTAGAACGCTGGCCTTGTAATCCTGGGGTCTCGGGTTCGATTGCCCGAATTTATAACTTGTGTTGGGCAAGGCCATGGTCTAGGCAACACGGAGTTTTCCTCCGGGGGCTTCCCCGGTTTATCCGTGGCATCCCAACAATTACTCCATTCACACACAGAAGAAGGCAATGGCAAACCACTTCTGGATCATCTGCCAAGAACATATATGAACAGGTCCCAGTCCGAGAAAAGGATGGAAGGATCCTGTTCATATGGACCTGTCGTCAGACAGAACACTAAATAAATAAAAAAAAAATATCATTACTGTGGTCTACTGTTAATATCAGATGACTCCCATATATTTGCATTAGTTTTCTCTTTTACATAGTGACTAGTCACTGACCTGGAGGTGGTTGACCTGATCTTTTAAAGTGGGGTCCCTCATGACCTGCCACTGCCTCCTCAGCTTCTTCAGGCGTATTTCGTCCTGAATACTAGCAACTAGAGGAGACCGCAGGCCCACGCTGGGGAGCTTTGGGAGGAGGTGCCACTGTGGCCTCGTGGATGGTGCTGGTCAGCTCCTTGATGCACTGGGTGTAGGTATGTTAGTGGGTTATATATGTGTAGGTAGAGGATTAGGCATGGAAAGGAAACATGACAATTGCAACCATGGAAGGGGGGAAAGGGCATTGAGCCCAGACAGGGCCAATAGGAGTAGGTAAACAACCCATTTCATGGCCACCAAAGAAGAAGGCCAGGTCAAGAGGAAGTACATGTCTTGACCTTAGAACCTTCTATTAATTCCTTTAGGGTGTGAATAAGAAGTTTCCATAACCTCTGTCCATCTCGTTAGGATGTAGCTGAATCCATATTGATCCTGTCCATTCAGTGATATGTTCAACTTCAAATCTCACCAGAATACACAATCTTTCAGAATACTTATACATAAAGAGATTTTGTAAAATAAATGTTTTAGAACACTTCAGAACAGTTAGTATCCTTCATAAAGATCTTTTGCTATTAAGGACTCAGGCAATTAAATCAATTAATTGACCAGATAATAAACAACAAGGTCAGACTTTCAAATAACACACGGATTTTTATTCCATTAGAAGAAAAAGAATACATATTTTCCATTGAGTATACATAGCATTCACATATACATGTCTGTTTTTGAACCAAAATAAAGGAACCATCCATGTAGTGTTTCAGATTTTCACAAGGATGTACACAATGTAGTCTTGTGGGTTTTAATACTGTGCAGTAAAGAAAAAGTTTATGATGATTTGGAGGGAATAGGTTTCTCTAAAATACTGGAAGCTCTTTCCAATACTGCATAGGAAACACTATACTGAACATACCCACATTAAGCAAGGGAACTACAAGACCAGGGAACTACTGACATAAATACATTATACTCTGTAATTCCATTCTGAGCTTTATGAAAGGGCATGACAGTATTCACAGTTTAACCTGCCTGTAATTTCATCTGTAGCTGTGTATTCCATAAATGATTAAAAGAAATACCTGCATACACAAAGTATGAAAATTATTTATTGATTTTTTAACTGTCAACTGTTGAAAACACTCTGCACTAAAATAATATAAATTATTTTATAGAAGTTACAATTTGGCTTTTATTCCACTTTGTACATACTTATTAATTTATGCTGAAAAATATTATTTTATATTACAAAAACATTATTTGTAATTTTGGACAAGAATTTTGAAGAACAGTTTTTTTTCCAAAATGCATAATTTAATTTTAATTCTATGCATTAATTGACTGCATCATACAGGTTTAATGTAAGGTACATTGGATAAAAATATTTGAAATTCTGCTTTGTTCCATACATTGCACTTAGGGCTGTCTAGTTAAACATTAACATCACATTACATTTGCATATAAATTTGTATATGAATGTTTTACAACAGCTGTTAACAGACAAGAAACAAAAATTCTGTGTCTTATTAAAATTGAATGAAAGACTGAATTACCCTGAAGTCCATTGTCTTTCATAGGTATTTTTCATATAGTGAATTACATCAGGTATTAAAAATTCAATTTTAATGCTGAAGGGTTTGATTGGTTTCATATAGCACACGTTATATGTTATAAGAAAACTGTCTGAAAAACAGGGGTCAGATTTGTTACAGTTCAACATTGCTGAAATCATGCACACATGTTGAATCCTTGAGGACATAATCATTAATGTGGACTAATGTTATAAAGAAATATAAAAAGCATTAATCTATACTCAATACACTGGGGTCCAAGATGTATCCATACTACGGCAGGGACTGAGTATAAGCAAGAAAAATCCCTTATTTTTAACAAAGTGTTATGATAAACAATTAAGGGAGTGAATGGCACTTTAACAATTTGGAAGTTGTAATATTATAATTTGGGAAAATATTTGTATAGCAGTAGTGTCTAAGTTGTCTGCATTCTCATTTCTAAAAACTTCTGATTCAACAGATGCAGAAGTAGAATCTAAATACATTCTAAATGTAAGATCACAAATAATACCTTTTATCTTCAAATAAAATTACATTTATAACATAGGTAAAACTGACTCTGAAATCAAGAGAGATACCAATCCTGACTAGAAATTATCAACTCTAAATTAATCAGTTCAATACTAGAGTAATAACTAGAATAAAAAAATACATCTTTGTTAGTCTGGTCCTTATTGGGGCAGATTATTTTAACCCATCTTCTGGAAAATTGGTCAGAAAAACAAGCAAAACAGCTCTGCAATCACTGTTACACCACAACTGAGAAGAATAGATTCATTAAACCCGTTCAATCATGTTCTTGTAATTATGTATGTATCAGGTACCTTTCTCATGTTATGACCACTTCAAATACTCATCATCTTACAAACATATTGATTTTCAGCAAAACGTTTGACCATTAATGAAACAAATGACTGTGCAAATGTCAGATACTTTTTTGTTTGTTTGTTAAATTGTACAGTTGAATTTGTTGCAGAGAAAATATATGCAGAATATCTTGCAAAAACTGCTGGCAGAGGAAGTTGAATCTCCATTCAAAATGAATGTCAATAAGTTCTTGAATATCTAGACAAATGAGTGTTTGGAGAGTAGCTGGCCTATACTCATAATTTTGGATATGAATATAAAATGCTTACTAGACAGAAGATCTTCCTGAGTCTGTCAATTAGGTATAATTAACTTCTTTCCTTCAAAATAATCATAATCACCATATCCTTTACAAAAACAATATAATTAATAATAATATTAATTCATTTTCATTCTTCCTTAGAACCAAATCAACTGCATATATGTGGTGTTATTTGTACATATCACAAGAGTAGTTATTTAGAAATGCTGTCCAAGTACTGCCTGTGTCACAATATTTTGATCTCAAAGTTCTGTTTGTTTCCCAGAATAAACAATATTTACTCTCCTGCCCACATCTTAATCAAAAATCATTTGTAATAAGTAAGTAATGTTTTCTCAAAGGCAGTATAAAAGTATAAATGTTATTTTCACGGATTCTTTCCCGTAAAGAGTTTTCTGAAATTGAATTTTAAAATTACATTAAATCTGTGGGCACAAAGTATGAGTATAATGCAACAGATTAAAAAAATTATTAAATAATTGTCTCACTAAATAGCTATAAAAAACCAACATATGACAAACACATAAAACAACTTGAAAGATAAACTGTTCTAAACTATGTAAAAAATAAAATGAAATGGCAGATATGCCACAAACATAAAATACTACAATACCTTTGCATTTCACCAATAAGCATGACTTCATGTGTAAGTCCATAATATTCATTATTACTGGGCTTGTGATGATTTAAAAGTACATCCTTCATCAGAGTGGGGCAACTAAAGATACTATGAATACATTCCTAGAACACACATCCCAAACATTTGAAATGAGTTTGATGCTTTGTTTGCTGATGTTTCTTCTAACTTCAACAAAAGTTCAGATATAGCAGAATCTTCTATAGAGGTTATATCTATATTTTACAATTAAAGGATCACATACAGAATTTTTCAGTAATAAGTACAAAAAATGAGTGAGTGAATTCTATGGCCTAAACCAAAGTAATATGTTCACGTATACACAGAGGGTAGCAAGCTTCTTTGGCCCTTTGAATATGAAATGTGGATATCAATGGCATTGAAGGAAAATTTTTATGTCAAATTATGTGCATTCCAGATATGTTGGAACTGATTTCAATGACATTCTACATATTATTTGCTGAATGTATTATTTATTAATGTAAATGTTCATAAACACCAGGCATGTTTCTGACCTTCTGATAGGCATGTCATACTCTCTGCCACAAATCCTTTGCAGTGGTCATGAAACAGGACCACGGTGTCCTATCAAGCAATGTGAGTATATTGTGATTGGGAAATTCCTTATGTCTCTGAGGTAGTGCAGAAGTGCTCCATTAAGCTGCATCCACATACGTTGTTGTATATGAAGCGGAATGTCTGCCACCAATGCTTGTAACTCCTGTTGCAAAAATAATTAGTACTGACTGCCATTCATCCATACTGGTAGCAACTATGGGCCGATGAGATGGTCACCAACAATTCCAGCCCAAATATTTATGGAGAACTGCTGCGATCACATAGCCCTAACATCATGGGAGTTCTGCGCTGCCAACGTGTGTTGTGCATGAAGACACCACTGAAAGTGAAAGATGCTTTGTCCGTGAACAGCACTCGCAATGAGTAAATTGCATCATCAGCTTGTTTGTTCAGAAGACAATGACAAAATTATACTCTCAACTCATTACGTCCCTGTTGTAACACTTGCACGACTAGTACGCGGTAAGAATACAGCTATTGTTATAAAGAAACTGGGGAAATGGTAAAAGTAAAACACTGAGCCAATGGGCCTGGATAAGTTCACATGATGAGGAAGCAAGTTTATTACTGAACACAACCCTTATTTATGAACATGCCTTTCCTTTAAGCAGCCACAGGTCTGTAAGGAAGGGTTTAATATCTCGTGTTCATATGAACTTCTTATTCAGTTTAAACCACATAATATATATCATAAAATAACTGTGATTGCCACTTTTGTCCACTTTCTGTATTAAAAGGGATGTAATTACATTTGAAAGCATATAAACCTGTATATTTCTAAGACCATTTGGTTTGGTTTAGTATTCACACTATGTCCCATCTGATGTTTTTGTACTTATTACCAAATACATTTTGTATATAATGAAGGAACTGGAAGAGGTCAGTTCATGTAGTAAATGACTAAAGGCTGGACAATCAGGACTTGCCTTGTAAGGGCAAAATATATTCTCTTAGTCTCTGCATCCAGACAGGCTACTGTCTTGGAGCAGACACTCCCACCCACCTATCCAATGGGTATGACATGTCCTATCCATGTAGGTAATGTGACAAGGGCATGAAGATGTACTCTCACCTCTCTCTACTGCCGAGGTCAAAAAACAGAAAAGCTATATCCCCACTACCCCACATAATTTCATGATGTGCTTCGTAAGTACCAGGGATAACTTTATGTTCTTATTGTATTGTATTAACACACAATGTTTTGTGTACAAGTGTTCACAGTGGGGAAATGGCTAACATTACAAAGAATCTATGTATCAGATACTGAGACTAACTCTGAAAGACAACAGTGGAAAATCTAAGAAACACCTGAATCTGCATTTAGAGAAAAACATCTTAACTACATGAGAACATCTGAGTGGTTTGCTTGATTTCAGCCTTTAAAATCCCTGTCTCTCCTGCTGGTCCAGTTATGTTATGCTGTGTGTGTGTTTTGATAAAACATCCTTTTAAAGTACATTGATATTGTTTTCATGAATTAAAATCCAATATGATAACAAAGTTATGTAACATGATGGGATGCACGTTGTGTCTTAAGGCATGTGGCGGGCCAAGTAGTGATACCACTGCCATGTTTTAAAAGACTCTGCTGGTCTTTAAGGGTTAAAAGAGCAGAATTTCAGGAGAAAATTATCCATGCCCTAGATGTTCATCATCATCATCATCACTAACTGAGGAAACAATGGTATTTCTTTTACGTGTTGCATCATGAAAATACACTGATTCCCTCAATCTATTAGGATATTCTTCACCGAAAGCAGCACAAGTAACACCCACCCTATTCACAGGATTTAAAACTTTTTATGTTTTGTGAACTGAAAAGTACTTAAACGAGAATCAAGTTTTCAAAAATGTGCCATTGATAATCCAAAGCGTAATATGGCAACTGAATATCATGAATGAAGAGTTTCCAGAAGCACTTCAAATCCAAGAAGTGTCAGGACTGTTAGAATAACAGGAAACTCAAAAGGGGTATGTAACAAAGCCCAGAATTTTACAAACCACTTATACAGTGGAATTTAAAAAATTAACATAACAAACCACAAATTATGTAAGCAATGTGAACTACAGAAAACATTCTGAAGTTCAATAAATATTGTGAAAGTGACAATTGTGTCTAGTAGTCAAGAAGAAGAAGAAAGAAAAAAAGAGCCTTCTGATCCACTAGTGGTGTACTGAAAGAAACAGTTGTCTATGTAATTAGGCACCACAGCATTAAGACATGTGGGGAGTGGAGGTAAAGTTAACAGTCTTACTCCTAGCACTAGACAGAGGCTGGTGGTCAGCTTCACACTTTAGTTCTTTAAATTTGGGAAAACAGTCACAAATCCCACTGGATAGGAGGCTTAGTGGACCATAGACCTCATCTGTACACACTTTGCCATGAAGCAAAAGGTCCCTGCCCATATCTGAAATAAAATCATGTTTGTCGAGCTTACAGTCTAAACTAAAACAAACTAAAGCAATCTAATTTGCCCACCTTAACTGTTGTCCTAATATTGCTTCTCAAACACCCATTTGTATTACAAACTTGTATTACTGCATATGTTGTCTAACACAAGATAAACTTCAGCTTCACTGTTGTCAACAGCCTCTTGGTGGCCATACTTGATCACTTTCAATTATAAGTTTGTTGTTCATCTAATGCTTTGGCAGTCCTATAAAGATGAATAAATGAGATTCTATAACAATAAAAATACTGCCATTTGAATATTAAGTTGTGAGGTACTCAGTTTAAAGTATGAGAACACAATGAATTTTAACCTAACACAATACACAATGCACTCAAATATTATACAAAACATTACACAATATTATTATAATCAGCATATCTTTATAAAATGCTACAGTAGCTTGTCACGTGTGAGTATTTTAATTTTGTATTAAAGATTAAATAATTTAACCTCAGTATGCCTGCTGGAAACATGAACCGACACTGCTGCAGTTTCAGGTTTGTCCCTGTCCTGTGACAATTGTCATTGTAGTCTGGTTCTTAAAGGACTATGACCTGGAAAGGCTTGTATTGTGCATTCACCAAGTTGTCTTACTGACTGGAGCAAATCCTCAGCCATCTTCTGACTTGTTCCTATGGAGCGACTACATGAAGGACCAGGATCCATGATAGGGCTGATAGTCAGGTCGTTGTATCGTTGCTGTCCCAAGGACAATGAAGACAGGTAACTTGTATCACCAAATGGCAAAGAAGCATTGCTAACTTCATTTAGGGCTGGTGTAAAGTTAAGAATACTTCTTCGGTCAGCAGTTGAGTTTCGTGACATAACAAGCATCTAACAGATACAAACATGAAAGATTAAAATAAAGAAATACATTCCTTATGTAAATCTGAAAGTGACAGCTAAATGGAATTAATTATTTCTGTAAATAATATTACAATACTATTTGAATGATTTACTAAAGAAAATAAATTAATATTACTGTCATGCTTTATGCTACAGGTATGCAAGAACTGCTAAGCTGTTCTACAAAAAATCAAATAATACTTACAAGAGACCTATGTGTCCAAGATAAAAAGAGTTCTAAAATCTTGCACATTTGTGCCATCTCTTAATACACAAATACATGAATTACATGTAATATATGGAATATACTATTATATATAATATTAAGAGATTAAGACAGATCACACTATCAGCGAAGCAGATGTCAGAGTTGCTCACAAAAGTTAACTTGCTGGTAGGGGTACCTGAAAGCAGCGTTATGTAACACTGCAAATACAGGAATTATTGGAAAGCTATTCTGGATGCAATGGTTAATATGTGACAGAATGAAGGCGTATGAGAACATAGTGCTGAGACAAATGTTTGGAGCAAAGTAGGACAAAGTGACAGAGTACTGGGAAAAAACAACAACAAAGTATAAGGTTCTCTAATTTGTACTCTTTACCAATTATTACAAAGATATATTTAAGGAGAATGAGATGGGTAGAGCTTATAGCATGGGAGAGATGATAAATATACATAAAATTTTGTTCTGAAGTCTGATGAGAAGATGCAAGTATAGATGAGAGGATAATATAATGAATCTTACGGTAAAAGGGTGCAAAGATGTGGATTGGATTCATCTAGCTCAGGATAAGACCAGTGGTGGTCTCCCATTAACATGTTAATAAATCTTCAAGTTCCACAAAGTGGAGATTTCTTGATTAAGGATAGTACTGGCTTTTCTAGGAGTACTTTGATGGAATCAGTTACTTTGTAGGCACAGTGGCTATCACTGGCATAAATACAAATTCCAGTTACGAGTTATACACATTTGGAATTTTTCAGTTTATTGTTACTCAATCTGATTTGATGAATTTAGTGTTAAAGTTGTATGGTCTGTTTCATGATTACAAACTAAACTCTGTGACAGCAGAGCCTGAAGTTTCAATAGTATTATTACTAAAGCCCAACAATGGACCTAATATTTACTGAGAACCCATTCGCCTCCCAGCCTCACAACCATCTTAATGTTACTCTCCCACCTCTTTCTTCGTCTTAAAAAAGGTTTATATACCAAGATAGTGTGTACATTCCTCCTTATCTTAGTTACATGCCTCATCCATCATAGCATTTTACATTTCCCTGTACTGATGTCTGATTTACTACTATGATACGCTTCTAAGTTCAATGTACGTGATGATGACTGTCACAAATTTGATGATGCTGAAGTTTTAAATTCCCCAAAAAGTGCCTTCACTAACATGATATGCAAGGGTTATGTTTTCTACACAGGACAGCAAAATAATGAAAAACACTTCTTACATGGGATTTTAACCTAAAATAATGCTGTTTAAGCCATCAAAACACATACCGTAGACTGTGCGGCCATACAAACTGGTTCTGTTTAGGTAATGTGAACAGCCATGGATTGAAACTGGATATACTACTGCTCATGCTGAAATACATTATCCAGTATTTCAATTGGTAAAGAATCTGTAAGTTGAGACATGATGTGTTATCTTTAAATAAAGGAATTTCAACTAGTTACCTTCGGTGGTCTGCCTCTTGGCCTGCGTGGTTTGTCTATGCGAAATGAGTGGGTCTTTGGGGGCTCTGCTACATGATGGCGACGAGCGTGCTGCTTCAGCTTGTCCTGACGAGAGAATGAGCGACCGCAACCGCTGCAGGTAAAGGGGCGCTCACCTGTGTGCACCCGGCGATGCCGTGCAAGGTGAGAAGCACGTGCAAATGCAAGCTCACAGAGATCACATTCATGGGGTTTCTCTCCTGTATGAACACGAAGGTGTTTCTTGAGTTCTGTGGATGAGTGGCAATCGAGACAACAGAAAGCACACACTGTATCAGTATTCCATTCTTCCTTTATGTCATCTGCTTCAGTATCTTCTGCATCATCAGCAGGATCAGGGCTTGCACTCTGTTCTGCTAGGGCAGATATACAGAACATGTCCATCTCCTGCACTTCTTCTTTTATTTCAACAGTACCAAGAGATATCATCTCTGGTTTCACATCCTTTCTAAAATTCTTACCTGAACTTCCAGTTTCAGCCTGTTTTCCATTCTCCAATGAGATGCCTAATCTCTTGCCTGTTCTTTGTGCTTCAGGATGTGCCTCATCTTTGGTTGTGACCATAATCTTCTTAACAGTATTTTCACTAGACACCGATTTGTTTTCACTCAATTGCTTTTCTGTGCTCTTGGTTCGACTACTGGGAAGGAAGCCAACAGAGACTCTTTTCCGTCCCTTGAATCGTGTTTCACGGGTATATGACAAGGGTACTGGTGGAGCTGTTGCCTTCATAGAATTAGTTTCAGACTGAAATACAACACAGAAACTTCAGTACACTATAACTGTACAATCTACTATTCATTATCCTGATAACAGTTTTCAAGTTTTGTAATTTATCTTTTCCTTCTCCCCACTTATCTATCCAGACAGTCTCCTATATATATAATGAAACAGGAGATGTGTGAAGCAAAATTTCAACATGAGATTTCAGGTTCTCACAGCTGCGAGTATGAAGATGACTGTCACCTGGGAAGACATTTATGGGATGGCATTCATGAAGGGAGCATGAATGCCACATTTGACACCACCAACTGGAGAAATCTGCAGTGACAGAACACTGTACACAAACTGGTAACAAAAATGATTCTGGTAAGGGCACCATACTAGCCAGGAACACAGGATACATGGGCAGATTAGTACAGGAAATTCAACTGCACCCCAACAATTTGAATATAGACAATGATTCATGTTGAGTCAGGCATGGTATTCCTCATTAACTTACTTCATATGACAAATAAGATTAAGCAACACTCAGACAGGACAGGGTCAGGGAGGACCAAGACCAGGTTAACCAACACAGACAGAATGAAATCTGGAGAGTGACCTCAACTATAAAGAACCAGGTTAACCAGCACGGAGAGGCCAGAGGGGTTACCGCTGGTGAAGACAATGGGACTTCCTGAATGAAGATGAAGGACTGGTTGCTCCTAGACAGCACTGTTCAAGTTGCTCTAACACAAAGGTCCAGGAGCAACAACTCTGAATAGTTTCAAAGATGGGTTCATCCGCAATCCCCACTGGTCAAGGTCTGTACAGGAAAGGACACGAAGTACGTACATAAGCAATAAACAGCAATCACTCATCCCATCATTATTCCCTGGCGATGGACACAGAGAAGGTCTCTGAAACACTGGACTATGGACCCATATTGATGTAGCTAGTCACCCAAGAAGATTTTATTGCATTTAGTTGCTGTGAAAGCTTCAAGTCATATATGTCTGGGATGTTGCACTGTGTAGTCTGGCAGAAGTTTACCAAAGTCTCATAGGTCCTTTGTGCCAATGCCCTGATTATGGTGGCAACAAGCACATCTGAAATGTCAGTTAACTTTTACCAAACTACATGGTGCAACATCCCAGAAGACAATCGCCTAAAATTTCAATGATTAGCAAAGAATGTGCATCTTATACAAAGTACATTCTCAACATATAGTCTTTAATACAACGCAGTTATGATGCTTAACAATGCACAGTACATGTAATGATATTTCACTGTATTAATTTTTAGTCATTTTTAAGTATGAGTGATGAGATATGACTAGAACTCCTAGGCAGTGCTACGATAGTGGTAAATGTATTGGCAGCCAATTGGAGATGGGCAAATTCAAGTTTACAGATATATATAATAAAGTTATATTTAAATTGTGCTTACAGCATTTATATGTGAAGGTACAACATACACTACACACCTTAATTTAATGTTTTATAACAAATAATTAATATATTTTTAATGTTCAGTAGTGATTATAATATTCCAATGCATAGTGTTCTGGCAATCAATTAGTACGTGCATATCTGGAATTCTTTTGTTTACTTAGTTGAAATACCATTCATCAATATGCAGTATAATCATGCCTGATAATTTATTCTAATAAAGCATAAATACCACAAAGAAAAAAAAAAGAGAAGCTCCATTAAATGCTAACAAGGAGACAAGTCTTGGTTGCCAACATTACACAATAATTTCCAAGGCATTATATCTTCCGACACAGGCACTCCTTCTGGATAAGAGGGGATTAACATATTCATGATCTATTATGTTAAACATTGGTTAGTTTATGTCTTGAAATTTAGTAAATGTGCTTTGTATAAGTTGGTGCTGCTTCCATAACTGTCGCAAGTATGACATGGCAGGGAAACATATAATATAATCAGACAATTAAAATAAATATTCACAACACAATGGTGAAAAAACTTTCACAATAAGAAATGAAGTGACATGTTTGCATTCTTTCATGCAATCATGACAACCATTATTTATTTTATAAATGTCAAAGTACTTATCATGGTAATGTGTGGAATGAAGTAAATACAATTTAGATTCATATAATGGAATAGATGAAGCAATTGCAAATGTAAGTTTTTCTTATATTAAAGAAGTACTCTTATCATGCATTATGCTGTATTCTAATGGTTCAGATTTATAACAGTATACTTACAGAATTTTGCTTCAAGGACGGTTTTTCAATTGCAGAAGTTTCAAGCTGTTTGGAAGATATGTCATTATTCTGAGATTCTGAGGCCCGTCTTGTATTTTCTTTAATATCTTCACGTGGAATACTTTTATTGCATTTCTCTACTTGATCTTCTATAATATCTGGTGTTCTCACATCAGTAATCTTCACATCATCAATATGACCAGAATTTTCTACACCTACAGAATCTTTATTTTCTACATCAGATGAAACACCTTTCTCAGCTACTAATCTAATGGTCTGTTTAAGCAGTTCATCTGCAAGTCCTCGTATTTTTAGTTCATTGGCAGTGTACATAAAGGACTGTAAATCTGCATCCAGTACTTCAACAGAGCCTTTATACATGAATTTAAGAAGAGCCTGCATTTCTTGTGAAGTGACTCCTTTCAGAATTAATACTGGATGTTTGCAATAATTGTCTCTGAAGATTGATTCAAAGTAGGGGCTGCATGCAGATAAAACTATCCTGTGCGCCTTCAATATACCATCAGTGCAAGATATTGACACATCCACTAAACTCTGTTCATTGTAAAGAGTTTCTAACTGAGAATACATATTCTGAAGATGATTGTTCCATTTCAGGTGAAAGGCATTATCAGCCATGCCTTACTTGATGGATTTATAACCTCGGCAATCTGTAAATATAAACAAACGACACGTTTAAAATCACAAACCATTACTTTATCGACAGCTTCTGGTCTTATCGATATACACAATCAATCCCCTACATTTTTATGGAAAATTATAAACCTGGAATTATAATAATTGAAAAAATACAAACGCTTTAATAAAGATAAGTTGTCAAGTAATTTTTATTCCCTCCTTGTTTGTATATATTGATTTATACGGAACGTGTTTACCAATTTCAATAACTTCCACAAGAACGGTATTGGCCCTACTGCTGAATAATATCGACTTGCAGGAGTACCAACCGGACAACGTCGAAAAACGATTAAATATTCCGAACAGAAATCTAAAGCCATTCACGAACAAATGTGCTAATTAATCTCTTTACATGAAACAAAGCAATTAGTAGACTTATCAACAGAATATAGCTACTTCCTATGTTATTTTTGTTGTTCCTGCTTCGAAGGTAAATCGCCTTAGTGTTGGTTAAGCTGCCTGCAGCGATTAGTTCGAATCCACTTGTTTCTCGTGACGGCAGCACGTTCGTTCCAGCTCGTAAGCCGTAAGACGATTCGTCCTTAATTCACTTGAAACAAAATAAGGACTTGAAATAAATAATACTAAAGATATCTCACCGCAGTGAGACTAGACAAAGTACGATTATTTGAATACAACATATCAGGGAACTGCTTAGGTCTGCATGTCTCCTCACCTTCACCTGAAGTCCATGAAAATAGTCAGGCAGAAAATACTAGCGAGCCCTAAGTTATCAAATACCAAACTGATATGCAAGTCGATGCTGTTACAAAATCCGTATGACCATTAATGCGTTCCAAAAGCTCGCCTCTTACGTCCTCTTTACATCCAAATAATATCCTCAGCACCCACAAATTAAGTTCTTTCTTCAGAGTTAGATACAAATTTTCGTGTCCATACAAAACAACAAATAGAATTAGACCATATTTTTATCTTTAGGCACACCAAACTAATATATTGTGAAATAAATGGCCGCAAATATTTTCTGGAATTAATCTTCTCTTAATTTAATCAGTAATAATAATAATAATAATAATAATAACTTCAAAAGCATAAATAGCAATTATGGTTATAATAATTCAATTCTTTATTTTAACGTGCTAACTCAACAGCTTCAGGAGCCAATTACAGAGTCAGCACAAATTAATAACATTAATACAAAAACAAAAGCATATGAATAAACATGAAGAAACGTATTCATTGACATACTACTCAATCCAATTCCTATATTCAATTCCTTTATTAAGGTGTATGCTAACGGCACAAATAGCCATTTACAGGCAGACATTGCAAAAAATATAAGTAGTTAAAAATTACATCAATCAATCTGTACAGTGAGTGTCCTGTAAGGAGACACTGCCTTTGCTGAATATGTCCAAAAATCTGCATACGTCATTTCCAGCACTGGCACACTTATATGAAGGATAATGTCTCATTTCTCTGCTCACACTAAGAGCAGAAAAACTCTTATGTGCCTTGAGAGCACACAAATACCAACAGTGTCCATGACTGAATGACAAATACTTTCTAATTTTTTTAGGATCAGTCAGAGTAATATTATTCCATACAACCGAGGCATACTCAAGTCTAGACCTAACTAACTCATATATAATATAACAAGAATGTCTAATGAAGAGAAATGTGAAGGTAATAAGAGGATGCCGGCATTTCTTAATAATTTCAAAATATCTTACATTTAGTAACTTTCCAATTGTGAGCTGAAGTAGGCTACAGATGTATGATCTTGAGCTTTCTCGGCGATTGTGTGTTGGTCTCTTCATGTTTTAACTTGACGTGGCTGATAGCCCGAGAGGATTTTAAGGCTACAGATATTTTCTTAACTGTAAGAATGACCTATAAATTACCTTATACTCTCGTGGAGTTAGGAACGACCAAATATGTAATTAATCCAAATATGGTGATTGAAACTGAACTTATAACGGTTAATTTTGTAGAAGTTTAATGTAAAATGCATTAATGTTCCCTTTAGTTACGTATCAGACTATAGTTTTTGGGTATTTATTTAAATACATAACCAAGTGAATATGTCACTGGTTTCAACTGATCTCATCCTTATGCAGTCAATGAAGACTTTTTCTTTAAGACCCAATCACGAATATTAACACGTGTTCAGCCATTCGAGAGTTACGTGGTTTTATTCTCAGGTGTGAAGTTGTTGTGGTGACAAAATTGTTGTGATCACTCTGGGGGAATGTTCGCATTTGCTGTAAGTTCTTCCCTCATATCCTCCTCAATTAACAGTTCTTGATCATTTTACAACAAATCCTGACAGCAGGGCTGAACAACGCAGCAATGGTACAGAATCACAAAGTGAATAATGAGACCAATCCAGACCAAACAAGCTAAATCCAAACACATCTAAATCAACCAATTCATTGCAAGTCTAATCAAACCAATTTGGGGAACTCTAAATTCTTGGACTATGTCCATCGTCTGTGTTTTTTCTAAAGAATACTACGTTTCGGAAGCTGGATCTGCTTCCGTCCTCAGGTAAAAAGTGAGGAGGGGAACCTACTCAGTTGGGTCCGATAGAAAGAGCTAATCTCAGTCACAGACAATGGACATTGTTCAAGAATTCAGTGATCCCGATTGTAACACACCATCGTCAGTGCCTTTTAGAATAGACTTAGTTCACACCAAACGACACCTGCCGCTTTAAGTACAATATTGTTAACTGATAATTCATATTTTGAGTACTAACTATAGTTGTTTCTAAGATTCGAGTTTTTTTATGTACATAACTTATTTTATTGACCATGAATTTATGTCATTAACAGGTACACCTTAAGCATTATTATTTAATATTCTGTGGCCAAGAACTTTCAACACTGATAAAAATGTTATTACCTCTCGTAATATTCCAAGAAAGTTTATATTGAAAGGTCTTACGTAAATAATAAGGCTATTCAGAGTAATGTTACTGTTGTTTATATGAAACAAAGTATTGACACAAAGTCATTAAGCAAATAAAAGTTGGTCATTTTATTGGGTCTAAATTCTCTAACAAAACAGTATAGCCTATTCACATTAATCATTTATTTTTCAGTCACTAATTTTTGTGTCCACTCTATAGTGCCTTTCTAAAGGACATGAAGTACGACATGTAATTACGACGGCCAGATTTCTTTCATAGAATCCATCTGCTTGACAATGGCTACATCACAAAAACATAATATTTTTCATAATGCTAATGCCATCTTCTGTATATTTTGTGTAGATTATAATTAAAAGATATGAAAGTGAAATTAGCTCTTCCACAAGTCCTTAACCGAGTGTACTTGGGAGGTTAAGGGTTTAAATTCCTAATATAAGCCGGTTTTCCTGGCAGATATTTGTGGTCTTCGTTGACTGTAGCGTACATAATTACAGCAAGCTAGTCTGAATCTAGTCCCACTATTACAATAGGCATATTGCTAGTAAGAGGTAGAAACAGAATCGTCAAAAAATATTTTATTGACTTTAGAGCTTTTGTTTCACGTTTTACTAGGTATTTTATTGTAGGTTATAAAGTCTTTATGCACGCTAAAACTCTTGTTCTTAATGCCAGCGTCAGATTAAGTAGCTCATGCAACGAGGCACATGGATTTATTTCAGATCATGGGTATAAATAGTCGGAGGATCAAGAGATCTGCGTACTCGAAGAACAGTAACACCAAACATGTTCTCCTTTGTCGTCTGCGTTCTCCTTTTTGCAGGGGTAAGTAACACTGTCCAACAAATTTTGGGTAATTTCTTGTTGTGGGCATGAAAGTAAGTTAACTTTATAGATTTTGGGTTGCTAAACATGGAAAAAGTGCTTAAATGGGCAGATTGGTTATTGTTTTCGAAAACAACTATTTTGTTATATTTATACAAAGTACTATTTATTTAGAGGGCAGTAAGATATAGCTATAAACATACCTTTGTCAAACACAGCGCTTTTTCGCCTTTCGCTTGTATTTAGATTCTGGAGCATCCCTTTTCACCATCCAACAATAATCGGTTAACATGGTGGCACTCCATTTGCTTTTGTATCTTTGCTCCATCGCTGAGATGTCTTAACGGAAGCGCTCACTATGTTCGTCGCTGACGACACCACAGTTTGACGGGAAGAAATCCGGGTGTGAGTGCAAGAAATTCATCTTCAATGACATGTTGCACCCCAGTTTTTTATAACAAGGCATGAGATCTTCCACAACCTACCTGTAGTTTCCGGCTTTAACTTTTCCTAGAAAACCAGTCGAAACATTTCGAAAGGCATTCCACGCCAATTTCTCGCTATCACTAAGGATACATTCGAACTGCTAGTCTTTGAAAATTTGCCTTATTTGTGGACAAATAAAAACGCATGCCTTAATCTTCTCTGTACTAAGTATTGGGAATTTCTCCTGCAAGTATGTCAATGCAGGACCATTCACGTTCAAAGCCTTTACAAATTTTTAATGAGTCCCAGTTTGATGTGTAAGCAAAATTTTACTTGGATCTACCACAGGTTCAAATGCTACGTTCTTCATTCCAGGTGTTAATGATTTTCGTTCAGGCCAACTCCTCTTCTTGTAGTGCATAACCTTGGCACGGTTGCCCCACTCACAGAGAAAACAACAATACTTGGTGTAACCCTTTTGTAGTCCCAACAAAATGGCGATTACCTTTAAATCATCACATATATGCCACTCATATTTCAGGTAGTGTACACATAAGAGGATGTTCTCCATCTTTACGTATGTTTCTTGTTTGTGGACGATATATGCAATAGGTATTGAAGGCAGCATATTTCCATTGCATAATAACACAGCCTTAAGGCTAACCTTAGAAGCATCTATAAACAGTTCTATTTCTTCGGGAACGTGCCTCATGTTCATTGCTGCAATTACACCAGCAATATCATTACAAACAGTGAGTTCACCTTCTGTTTGATATAATTTATCATAGTCATTGTTTGGAGTACGAAATGTTGTCACTTTCACAAAATGATCTAGAAGATTCCACTGTTGTAGCCTCGAAGCCAAAAGCTCTGCCTTATTCATCGGCAGTTCGAGATCCCTGATGAGGTCATTAAGCTCACTTTCTGTGATCTTATGTGGTTCAGAAGGATAGAGGCTTGTACAAAATGGTGGATCCCTTGACGTAGACGGTTGCTGTACTTCTTCGTGTATATCAAGCTCAGCCTGAACATCATCAGTGTTTTCATCTTCATCAGAGTCTACAGAAAAACTTTCGGGTGGTTCAGGAATAGGTAATAGTTTACCGTGAGAGACGGAGAGAAATGCAGATGGTATATTTGGGTACGTCACTGTCTACTTTTTATTAATTGTCACCATACAGAAGTAAAAATCTGTTATGTGATTTGTTGGCTCCCTCCATACTATGGACACTGTGAAAGGCATAGAACGTCCCTTACGATTCATCCACGAGTTGAGTTTTTGTGAACAGTTAGTGCAGCATATGTGTGGAGCCCAGTTCTTGTCCTAATCGCCTACTTTACACCCAAAGTACAATTCGTAAGCCTTTATTATGGCTTGAGTTAACGTACACTTTAACGAAGCAAACGTGACTTCTCCATATATATAACAGAAGTTATCTGGACTATTCACATAATTACGGGGCATATTTATCTTCCACGACACAAATACTGCGCAAGAAGTAGGAATCTCACAGAGAACCGTTAACTGAGAACAAATTACCCAGTACCTGGCCGGATTCGGGGAATACTGCAAGAGTTGAAGATGCATTTGAGGCAGCAACAACTTATCACGTAATGCAGAGTGGGGCGACAGTTGATGATCACGTGATAAGAACGTGGTGGTACTATAACTGATAATAATGTAAAGTATCTCGCTAATATGAGACCACAGCCGTAATTCGAAAACAGGGGCCATTCGATAAATTTTAATGTGATTTTCATGTTCAGTAGACTAAAATTAGTCAAGATTGGTTAGTTTCGTTTTCATAACATTTTACATGTTAACCGGTGTAATTAAATTTGTTTTCAATACATTTTGCTTTCTCTGCACAAGTGTATAATATGAACACGAAATGGAGATGTCATAGCCCAATTATTCCATTCGTTTCATCCCAAATAATGAGAAAGATTTTATTAAATTTGCCATTTGTGGTCGACCAAAGTAAATATGAAAACCAAATACAAATGTAGCCTGGAGATTGTCCAACCAGTCATATCGCCACGAAGAAACCATGTACGTCTTTATGTGACGTTTCCGTTATTGTTGTATGATTTTAACCAACCACTGAAATGTTGTCTACCTTTTGGGTTTTAACGCCATGTAGATTTGTAGAAGTTTACGAACGTTTCAGAGGTCCTTCCTGCCTCCATCAGCAGGGCTTACTCATTGCCTAGTTGATGGATGCGGTAAAGAACTCTGGAATGTCGGCAGAGTTCTGCCAGATTACACGGCGATACAGTCCAGAAGACAGACAGCCATCTTCGTACTCATCGCTGTGAAAACTCAGATCCTGCTGGAATTTTGTTATACTGCTTTCGTTTATCCCATCCAAGGTTAATTTTCAGTTCAATGTAGTGTAAATCACTTGATTACAACAATAATATTTCACATAAATCTCAATATTCCTTTTACGTGATAATATTCCATATCATACTAAATTACTTTATTTTAACTGCTTCTTATTCGGGAGGTTGTGGGTTGAAATTTAGGCTAACAGCTTTGAAAAATAAACCATAAACAAAATGCACGTAACTATACGTATAAGAGTTCGTTATCGGGTTTTCTTGGCTATAAAACTGCGTTCTTGCTGTCAGGATTAAAATAACTGAAAAGGAATTTAAATAATCTAGAATGCCACGGACGAGTACTTAGAACTTATGTTTCGTATCCTGTAGGGTCGGGGAATGCCTTGACTCGGAGACCGACTATAGTTGAAGCATAAGTAGCTTCGTCAATAACTCCAGAAATTGTTGGTATTTTGCAAAGAAATGGGCCACCATCACTTTATTTCACATTATTCTAATCCACAATTTATGAAATCATCCTACCATTCGACGCTGTGCAACACATCCAACTAATACAGGCAAGAGATAAGCAATGATGGGTGCTTTTTAATTCTTTTCCAGGTTTATTCATTTGATTACAGAGTTTCTGGCAGCCATTATGCCTTCGCACCTGTCGCAGGTAAGACCTGGCTTCATTTATGAATTATTGAAGTTCAGACATTAAATTTGAATGACTGTTTCCTCGTTACACAAAATAAGTTGTACTGGCTGACAAAGGTCTAACTGAATTTAATCTGGGAACTTACATTTAGGCTATATATGCACAATTGATTGAAACTGTGTTGCCTAAGATGCAAATTATTTTAGAACTGATGCAGTTTACATAATGCAATTACTAATTACGACCTTATTTAACATTACTGGGCAGAAAACGTTATTGTTACGACATAAATTGCTAATGAGAAATGTATGTAAATTATACTTTCAGACCCATATATCTCACCTCAATAATACGCTTAAAACAAACACGGAGTGAGCACAGAAAACTTAACACCTTAAAAATGAAGCAGAAAACAAGTGCGAAATATTTGGAAATTTACACATACACCACTAACAGATAAACTCTAAACGTCTTGCACGCATCTTACAGAGACTCGACATGTGTTCCGCGAGTCACACGGCAGATGTCCAGATGAAAATTCAACTCGTCCCGAACTTTATAAAGAACGTTTGTATTTAGGTGGGCCCCTTGGCGAGTCCTCAGGTTACGGATGGAGGAGAAGGCCTCCAGATATGAACGGTAGCTGCGAATATGTTGAATAAGCAGTCGCGACATCCGACAAGGGGTGGTCCTCCAGCTTGGGTGTTCGGCGTGGGGTTAATAATGTGAACATTTTGATAGGAGATTTCAATGTAAAGGTAGAGGGGCAGGACATTTTTAAACCGATTAATCATAGGGAAAGTCTACATGAAGTTAGTAATGATAATGGGGTCTGTGTAGTAAGTTTTACAATTTAAAATATCTAATTGTCAAATGTACAGCATTCCCTCACCGTGACATTCATAAACATACTTGGACTTCTTCTGATGGTGTCACATGCAATCAGATATTAGATGTCAGATCTTCCATAGAAGCTTACTGTGAAACCGACCATTATCTGGTAGTGGCAAAATTAAGGGAGGGACTTTCATTAAGCAAACAATCAAGGCAAAGGATTTAGAAGGATTTGATTTTAAGAAAATCAATGATATAAAAGTTAAGAAAAAGTGTCAGATAGAAATCTCCAATAGATTTACGTCTTAAGAGAACTTAGTTGGCAGTTTGAATATTAAGAGCGCATGGGAAAGTATTAGAGACAATATCAAGACCTCAGCCAAGGAAAATATAGGACATCACAAACTAAAGCATAGTAAACCATGGTTTGATGATGACTGCTCAAAATTAAAAGACAAACGGAAGAAGGCTAAATTACAGTGGCTGCAAATCCCAAGACAAATCAGTGCAGATAATCTGAAACATTTAAGAAGTGATACCAATAGAACATTTAGGAATTAGAAAAAGGAAAACCTAAAAACTAAATTAATTAATTTAAAACTGATTACAGAATTTTTTTGGAGATGTATACAGAAACATTAGTGCCACAACCACATCGAAGTATTGAGAAGTTGAAAAAGTATAAATCCCCGGATACTGATGAAATTCCGGCCGAAATTATCAAAGTAGGAGGTGAAACGTTGCGTTTCGGGATACACACTTATTTGCTCTGTATGGAATCAGGATGAAATGCCACAGCAGCGGAAGGAATCCATTATTTCATGAAAACGGTGATAAGACTGATTGTAGTAATATCGAGACATCTCCCTCTTATCTGCCTACAAAGTGTTATCGAAATTTCTTCTGCCGAGGCTGACTCTAATTGTCAATAAAATTGCTGGAGATTATCACTGTGGGTTCCGTCGTAATATGTCTACAATTGATAAAAATTTCTACATTCGCCAGATATCAAAAAAAGTTGGAATACCATGGGACAGTACATCAACTATTCATAGACTTCAAGAATGCCTATGGCTCAGTTGAAAGTGAAGCTATTTACAATATTTTGCTTGAATTTGGTGTACCTAAACAGCTAGTTAGGCCAATTAAAACGTGTTTAAGTGAAACCTCTAGTAAATTTCGTGTAGGTAAACGTTTATCTGACACATTTTCTATTCAGAATAGCCTTAAACAGGAAGATGTTCTATTGCCACTGCTTTTTAATTGTGCCATAGAATATGCCATCAGGAACGTCCAAGAAAATCAGGGCGGTTTTGAATTGATTGAGACACATCACCTTCTGGTCCATGCTAATAATATTAATTTGTTGGTTTATAATATTAATGCTATAAAAGCGAACACAGAAACACTCGGTAGGGATTATTGGTCTAGAAATAAACGCAGAAAAGACAAAGTGTATGATCAAGTCTCAACATCAGAATTCAAGACAGAAGTAGAATATAATGACAGCTAATGAATTGTTCAAAAATGTGACAAAATTCAAGCACATGGGGATGACACTAACAAGTCGGAATGACGTTCTTGACGAAATAATGACCAGATTAAATTCAGGGAATGCTTGTTATTATTTTGTTCAAAATATTTTGTCCTCCCGTCTCATACCAAAATTCTAAAGATTAAAATATATAAAAGTTTAATTTTACCTGTTGTGCTATGTGGGTGCGAAACTTGGTCTCTCACTTTGAGGGAGGAACATAGATTGAGGGCATTTGAGACCTGAGTGTAGAGGAGGATATTTGGACCTAAAAGGGGGGAAAAATGAATCATGGAAAAAATTTCACAATGGTGAACTTCACGGCCTGCACTCCTCAGATGATATAGTTAGGGTGATTAAATCGTGGAGGACGAGGTAAGCGTTGTATGGGTGAGGGGAGGAGTGTTTACAAGGTATTTATTGGGAGGCCTGAAGTGAGGAGACCGCTGGGAAGTTCTAGTTGTAGGTGGGAGAATAACGTTAAGATGGACCTTAGAGAGACAGGAATCGATAGAGCGAACTGGATGCTCAGAATAGAGTTCGGTGGCGGGCTTATGTGTACACGGTGATGAACCCTCGAGTATACAATGGACTTTTTGAAGAATTGCCTACACCATAGAGAGTGTCCCTAGTGATCGAGTCTATTGCAGTTGTGATTCACTGCCCCAAATCTGTCAAATATTGCGGCATAAATGGAAAGTCAGGTGGGCGGTTCCATGTGAAATTACGTGCGAAAAGAACGCTACAAAGCTGTTACAGACTTTTTTTTAACCAAGAGATCAACATTCCAACTCATCTGTTGTGGAGTAGACGTTTTAAAATCCAGTAGCATCTGCCGGAGGAGCGCAGCAACAATCACCTGGGTTATTCGAAACAAAACTTTCAAAGTTTGTCTATCAACGTCGTTAATTATGAGCTTGCCAGAGTAGGAATCGATTTTCAATAATACTAGATGTAACATTTAATCAACTGTAAAGTTCAAACCCAATCGTTTCACTTTCACTAGGGATAAGACGTATCGATTAAGAGTGATTCACTGCCACGTTTCGTTTCAGAAAAACACGAAGAGGTACTAATATCAGGTAAGTAAATCATGTTACTCTCTTATTAATATATACACTCATTTCGAAATCCTATTAAAGTAATATTGCCTATTTTCTCTGACGATCAGCTTTTCAGTTATGTGGTTTTAATTCAACCGGTGGCGCTGTAGACCAAATCAGGACACAATCACAACACGTATTTCTATGTGCCAGAAGTTGAGGGTTTATTTATATTAATTCGATTAATATGAATATCAAACTAGTTTTCAAGCAGTCGGAGCCAGTAATGATATAAGTACCGATCGCAATAGTGTAAGGAAAGTATAGGACGCAGAAAGTAGGTTTTTATCCTTCTGTGATAAAGAAAAATCCGTGCGAATCGTGGTATTTTATTCTGTAACTCAGTGTAGTCCTGTAGATGGTCAACAAGTTTCGCAGAAGGAACATTGATAACCACTTACAACAATACTTGGCTTCACAACCCAGAAGACCACAACGAACATTTTTACATGGAAATATTTATGCCGTTTACAATGGTAGTGAGGAAAACAGCGAATCATTTCAGACAAAGTAATCAACAATGTTAAAATATATAAGCAAGCAGAACGTGGAATGTACGTAAAAAGTGTATACTTGAAGCAACCTCAAATGCTGGTAAATTTTAGAAATAACAGTAGATGATACTTTGAAATCTATAAATAATTACACGTTTTGGTCTGTCACCTGTAGATGTTCAGACTCTTCTCTCTCGTTATATTTGACTCCTATCTTCGGGAAAATCTTAACTGTGGCAAAAATTCGAAGTTCTTCCATGTCATGACTCCTCCCAAAACCTCTTAGTGCAGGCATGGCGTGCGGTTATGCTAAGAAAACGGTGTCGTTGTTGCAGAAATCTACAAATCTGTTGGTAATGAAATTTAACGCTAGTTGTTTGCCAATTTAGCTGGTGGCCTTATTAGAACTACGTCTCTGCAATAAAGACAAAATTTATAAACTTGCAGTTATAATAAATCGTGAAAATTTGTGCAACGGAGGAGCGACCTTTAAAAACAAATTACAAAGATATACGATGGATAAAACCTACAACTTTCATGTGCTTAAATGCAGAGATTTATGACAATTCAGAAATGAAGTTTTATTTTGAACATATTTTGCTATGAAGACACTATAATTTAAAATGGGCACAAATTATTTTGGTTGTCAGGAGCAGTATATATTATTTCTTCCTCTTTTCTTTTCCCAGCACCTGAATCAGTGCCTCAAGCAGAAGGTAGGCCTAGGTTATATTTTCTCTCATATAACACAATGTTCTAATGCTATCGTAAGATGCCGTGGACAACCTAATTTAAATATACCTGCATTAGGATTATTTCATGTTTCCATCCGATAAAGACCTGGTAGCTTCTTAGATATATAATATCTAGTAATATTTGTATACAAACTAGCGTGATGAAGCAGAGTAAGTCTGGAGAAAATAGTATAATAAGCTTTCAATTGGTCAATAAATTCTCGAACTTTTATACAACCCGAAGATTAATTTCCATGTTTACCAAAGCCCAAACTTATACAATATTTCTATATGATTTTCTTTTGACCTGAGCCTATCTTTTAAGTGGCCACGTGCGTTCACATTTTCCGACAAAAATTTTGTGCATATTTCTAATTTATTTAATGCGTGCTGTTTATACGAATCGGAAGCATGTGTTTGTTGTCTCTGTAGTATAAGTACCTAACTCAAGATATACTTGTTTTCTCCTACCTCATATCACCAATGAAAGAGCCCCACAACAATATTTCACTAAGTGTGGACGTGTTAGAATCTTCCACACGAGTTATACGAATATTCGTGAACAATATCTTTAGCATAAGAAATACCTAAGAAAACTAAGGGCAAAAATAAAACTAGAATACTGTGGTTACAATAAATATATACAGGATGAGTCAAAAGTATGTTTACAAACTTCGTGTGAGTGTTCCAGGATCAAAAATAGAAAAAAATGTTCCTACGAACATGTTGTCGCAAATATTTCATTTTCGAAATAATAGCCAAAAATTAGTTTCAACGTATGCCTTTATTGCCAAGTATAAGGATAGGAATGTTTCTTTGTAACAGATGCCTAAAGGTTGTTCCTCCATTCTCCACACACACTGCCTTTATTGCCAAGTATAAGGATAGGAATGTTTCTTTGTAACAGATGCCTAAAGGTTGTTCCTCCATTCTCCACACACACGCAAGAGCACGACGTACACAAGACTGACGAATTCGTTGTTACACATTACGGTTTCCTCGAATCGTCTGGCATGCAATCTGCACACGTTCACATAGGTCGTCATCATTGTTTATGGGTGTTGCACAAACGACGGACTTTAAGTGACCCCACAGATAAAATTCCAATTGAGTCAGGTTTGGTGACTTCGGTGGCCATGCTACTGGGCCACCACGCCCAATCCATCGTTGAGTGTACTGTTCATTGAGATGATCTCAAACTCGACGGGAGAAGTGTGCTGGGGCTCTGTCGTGCATAAACCACATTTGTCTTCTTGTATTCAGTGGTACATCTTCAAGAAGACGTGGCAAGTGTCTTCTTCAGAATCGCCGATATGAAGGTCCTCTTAGACGTGATGGAAGCATGTGTGGACCAATAAGCATGTCGCCAACAATACCCCTTTGAGAAATTTCAAAAAATGTCGAAATTTGTCGTTTTGGACGATTTCCGACGGTTTTTGATTTTTTTAAAATTTCCACATTTTTGGAAATTTCTCAAAGGGGTACCTCTTTGAGAAATTTCAAAAAATGTCGAAATTTGTCGTTTTTTGACGATTTCCGATTTGTAAACATACTTCTGACTTACTCTACAGTACACCGTGTTTCAAAAGTAGCTTTACAACTTCGCAGGAGAATATAAATTTATTTAATGGACTTGCGCAATATTTTTAAATGCACAAATTTAGCCAAACACATCAAGTTTCATACATATAAACTGTAGTACCGAAAACCGTGTTTCTGAAGACGCCGTGGAACAGATTAAGGAGAGCTTCGCTCGAAGTCCACGCAAGTGAACGAGACGTGCATCTCGGGAAAGTGGGATCCCACATGTGACTGTGTGGCGAGTGTTACGAAGACGTTTACACTTAAGAGCGTACAGATTATCCATGGTGCAAGCCATTTCAGATGGTGATAAACTGGCTCGTAAGGAATTTTGTACGGAAATGTTGCGGCGGGTTGAAGACGACGAAGGATTTCTGGACTCAGTAATTTTCAGTGACGAAAGTACGTTCCATGTCACTGGTAAGGTCAACACCCACAATTGCAGGATTTCGGTTAGTGAAAATCCACGTGCCTTCCTGGAACATGTTCGTGACAGTCCAAAAGTTAATGTGTTTTGCGCCCTCAGCAAAGATAAAGTTTACGGCCCCTTCTTTTTCATGGAGAAGACCATTACCGACATTGTGTATCTGGACATGCTCCAACAGCTCCTCATTCCTCAACTTGACGAAGATGACCAGGAAGGACGCATTCACTTCCAGCAAGACGGAGAAGTGCGCGCGTACCTCAACAACCGTTTCCCAGGTCTGTGGATGTGTCGGGCCGCACCAATAACATGGCCACCTTGTTCCCTGGATCTAACACCTTTAGATAACCTGCAAATGTGGCCGAACTCCGAACTCGAATTCCCGCTGCAGTTGCTGAAGTGACACCGGAGATGCTACACCGCGTGTGGCAAGATATTGACTACAGATGGGACGTCTGCAGCATTAAAAATGGAAGTCACATTGTACCATAAAAATCCGATGGACATAAAACTTGAAGTGTTTGACTACATTTCCATATTCTGAAATTATATGTTTCTCCTGTCAGTTCACCAATATCTCGCCCTCAAGTTGTAAAGCTACTTTTGAAACACGCTGTATATCAGACATTAATTTGTAGGCCTAAATCATAAAAATCGCATGACCAATTGGATACTCAAAATTTCACGAAATGGGCACGGGTGATAAAATAGGCTACATGAATGAAAACTTCGCATAAGAATATTCCATGTTTAAAAAATAAATTTAATTTTATTTCAGAACCAATGCCTGTGGATCCAAAAGAACCCGGAGTTGAACGTAAGTTATAGGTGGAAAATAAATTAACTGTTCTTAAAATATTATAATAAAAATCTGTCTTATCGTTATTCTTATTTATGAGTCCTGTCGGTGAAATCCAATCTTACAAATCATTCTACTGTTGATTCTGTCTTAGAATAAGCAGAACATCTAAAGCTTACATAAAATCTCTTCTTATTAGAAAGGAATGTGAATAGAAATCATTCCTTTTGAAATACATAAATCGAACCTAGCGATAAAATTCTTATTAGGCACATATGCATATGAGTCGATTTCGAAACCAATTTGTGCCTTAACAGGTTGAAAAAAAGCAAGTTTATTGGAGAGAAAGGGAATAAAATTATTGGCACCTTTTACATTCAATTTCAGAGTCTATTATACGTTACAAGAATTATGTTACATCAAAGACTATAAAAGGAACTAAAACTGGATTTTCTTTTCAGAAAATCAGGTGTAAATGTAATGCATGTGATGTATGGATTACATGCTGGATTCTGTTTGCCGTAAAATGGAACCAAATTATTACAAACTGAAACTGTAATGCAATAAAAAATAAATTCTTGTAACTGTTGAATTGTGATGAGTTGTAAGGGAGATAAGGGAATCAAATAAAATAGAAACTGAGCATTCAGGGAAATGTTGATTCATTGAGTGGGAACAACGCCAGCTTAATATAATAATATACGCTTCACTTGAGAACCAACTATTCTTTTAATATTGGCCTGTATGTTCTTTTATTTCAGATGGGCCTGAATACGAAAGTAGGTGAAAACTGAACACTTCAATAACAACAATTTGTTAAGTATGCAACCTATTTATGTACAGACCTACAGAGGCCGAAGTTAAAACAACTCATGTGCTCTATCGAAAATGAAATATTTAAATTATAAATTTAGATTTGAACAACTTTTCTGGAGAGCTAAGGAACGTGGAGCAAAGTGAATACTTTAGTTTAAGTGCATGACGTATATGAGGTTTCGTGTTTAATTATATATGTAGTGATTGGTTGAAACAGTAGTTTGCTTTGTGTGCATAATTTAATGAAACGTAAGACGGTATAATTCTACAATCCAGTTTTACACTTGGTTGTGAAATAATCTTAAACATTGAGATTATTAAGGATTTAAAAAGACTGGTAAATTACATTCTAAAATGGACCTATGATTGTTCAGAAAAATGGATGCAAAATATCTACAAGCCTAAAATAATTCACAGTGAGAGGGTCAAGTAATGTACAAAAGGCATCGCTATCGTTTTTGCTACCGAAGATCAGACTTATCTTGCGACAAGTACATGAGGACTGAAAAGTGTGAGAATAGCTAATCGTAATTTTTGAATGGTGATATTTAATGCGGTACTGAGAGGTGAGACAGATCAACCCAAGATATCCAATGACGCTTTAATCCGTTGGCTTTCTATGTGTTTATGATTTACAGGTTTTCATCTGGGCTACATATTTAGTAGCGGTTTCAACTTCGATACAGTATTCACACACACTTATTCATATGCAAACATTATTTTGCTACAGTAAACACATTAAATTTGTTGATAAGATTGGAAATTATTGCTGTCAGAATATATCACCTGAAATGGAAGATAACTAATGCTTTTGATTTTAAAAACAAAGTATGTTTTTCGGACTCTGCCAAAAGACTTCATTAACTAATTAGTTACTGGCTGAAGAAACCATTACCTAATGGAACGTTCCGTAAATCCACTTTTGTTGTGGAGTCATGGAAAACGAGGACATACCCACAGTCATTTCAACATCTTTCAATCAAAATAAAAATAGGTGTAAAACACAAGGAAGTTTACAAAATTAAAAATTAACTCAGTTCTTTAAATTACCTTTAAACTCCAAATGTTTGCATAAGAGTTATATTCAGGGTAATTTTTGTCAACGTTTATGTAATTAATGTGGATTAATTACGTACTAGTATTGATTGTAGCCAAATAAGAGAGTGACATTTAAGATATTTTAAAACTGAACTTTAATTTACAAGCATACGTGTTATTAAATCAACGTTACTTTAAAATACTCTAAATTTATGTTCCAGAACTTTTGTCGGTGTATTACAACAGTCTTCAAGGTAAAATCAGCTTAAGCCATAAATCATTTGAATAAAAATACTTAATATAATTTATTGCCGAAGGCATTTTAAGTTTTATTTCCTTTTAAGAAGAACCACCGTAATACTTTTAGCACTGCCTTGTTTTGGTTTCTTTTAGTTTGAAACAAATCCAGTAAGTAATTAACAAAATCTTGCCCAGTATCTTCTGTCGGGCATGTTTTAAATCACAACTCAACAGATATTACTGTACATTAATAGTAATCAGATGTTTAATAGTTTAGAAAATCTGAATGTTGAATGATTCGTAGCAGAACAATATATTTTAAAGATGTTCAAAATGTAAAATGAGTTTTAATTTAGTGGTGCTGTAATTGGGTAACTTGAAATTTAAGGTTTTCACGGCTGTGAAAATATAGTCTTCTGGGTTATAACATCACATAGTCTTCCAAATGGTCACTAATGTATCTGAGAAACATACATCCTCCACCTACTACTCTGTTTTCTAAAATAATATTATCATCGAAAACAACAGTTTAACCATTCGAACTGCTCTGCGTATAGAAGATTCACTATGATAAATTTCAGTATAACTTGTAGTAAGCTTAAAGAAAGATTTATTTAAATTATTCCAGACAGAGACATTTCTACATGTGCTCAGTTGCCTGTTTGCTAAAAGGATTAAAAAAATTGAAACTAGCCTACCAATTAAATTTGAACACAATACTTATCCACTGTGTCGACTGTTGGGTATAATACACAGTATGTCGAGGAATACAAACACAATCGTTGTAGGACGTACCCGAAGAATGAGGCAGTAGGTTTTTCGAAAAGTCGGTAGTATATTTATTCCTTGATATAATGCTACCCACAGGACGACATAGTACGAAGCTATTTCCGTGAAAATATCAAATGTGAAATTACCTGCACATTTGTTATGGCGCTGATCTAAACATCAAGATTAATAAAAAGACTGAAGCCATGAAATGACTTTTTCTGCTTAATGGTGGTTAAGAGAGTGGGTCGAGGTGCTCTTCATTCATGGAACATGGGTTTTTGCTTTGTTTTGTTTGTAATCTTAGTTTACCACAATTTTGTGTTCGTAGTTCCTTTTTATATGATCTTCTTGCCTATTGCACTTTGTGTTATTTGAAACAGTATAAAAAGAAAAGTGAAGTCGTGTAAAACCTCTCATTCTTAAATAAAGAACGTATAGGTAACTTGTAGCTGTGAAAACGAAAATATCTTTCGTTATATATCTTGAGCGTTTTCTGTTAAGGTGATTGCTCAGTGACGTTGATGAGAGAAATAAAGTTTAAGAACACACGTGTGTCGTTTAAAATAGCTTGTTTTCAATTTAATGCGATGCGATATATTTTTGTTATTTATTATTACACTTAATTTTATTTGTTTCAGACTATTACGCCAGACCATGTAAGTTATTAATTAATTATTAGTAAGTAATTTCATTTTTTGGCTCGGAAGCAGTAAAGTACGAATTAGACAGCCGGGGCTCCATGCTTGGTAAAAGCGTAATGCATTTTCTATTTTTGAGCACACATACTTGTAGCTAAAACCGAGTCTATGTTCGATAGATTTCTAGTGCAGTGTCACTCCAGTCTTATTTTGACAAGTTCATTGTCAATTTTCTCAGTGTCCAAATGATAATACCAAGCATGCATAGTTGTTTTTATACAGCACTACGTCAGACATAAGAATTTAGGCATTTCTTGTACCAAAACAAAGTCCAATTTAAAACTGTTAGGAGTGAATTCTTTCTTTGGCTCGAGCGTAAGTCCAATACATAACCATCATCAATCGACTCTTGGGTGCTCAGTTCCATTAGTAACGCTCTATTGTTTTATTTCTCTCAGTTTTAATTACGTAGCTCGTAATGTGAATTACTGCCACAAATATGTTACAAAGGAGCCGGCGTAGCTCAATCGGTATAGTGACTGGCTACGCGGGGGTAAAGTCGGCCGGGGCGTGATGCTGACCACTCACCCCCATCTAGTGCCGGGGTCAAGAATGAGTAGGAGATATACCTCCACTCCCCCCAAGCGCCTACATGGCGTATGGTGGGACATCTTTTAATATGTTACAAATATAAAAATGGAACATAGGTGTTCCATACTTTCATCACAGAATTAACTCACTCTGGGTTTATTTGTTACATATTAAAACATTTCGAGAACTTGAAGGCCAAAATGTCGGCTGTTTGGTGATTCTTTTCTGCCATATGAGAACTCCAGTTGTGTCTTCAGTTTGCTTCTATTAATTTGTATTAAATGTTATCATTATGAATTTCACATTAAAATTGAACTTTCTAATACAAGTTAAAACTGGATACTAATCTTTCTTTCAGATGAACTCTACAAACAGTACAAAGGTGAGTACGTTAATTTTAACTTTCATACAATAATTTTTTCAAGCCTTTCATTCAATATGATAAATAACCCATGTTTTTCCAAAGTTTACACATTTTGGTGTCGACCATAATCGATGTCATAGCAGACTATAGTAATCTTTAGAATAAGAAATTACATTTATATTTTCTATATCCTGAATGCAAACTCTTTTATAACACGGAAATATTAATACACAACCAAATTTATCTTGAAATATATTTTAGTTTGTAATTCGTAGTTTACAGATGACAATTGGAGACGGTATTAAAATATTAGAATTAAATCGTGTTAAGTTCGTGTCATTGGTGTATATCCACCGTACCCTATCATACTCTTTGTGGGTCGTAGGTAACCTACCGGTTTTTCAACAAATTAACCATTTGTAAGACTACACGGTGTCATAACACAATTACTACAATGTAACTATTACAGTTTTGAGGCAGTACTCTAAGGAATGTAGAAAAAAATACTTTCCTTCATTCAAGACATGTTCTCTTCCCAAAGCTAGTAAAGTGTTAAGAAATAATTCAAAAATCTCTATACACATCTCTCTTCCTACTTTCATATCCATAAGATTTATACTAGAATAAGAAATAATATTGAATTTAGAAATCAAATACTACATTGAAATGTTTTACACATCTCATATAATTTTCATAAACTTCATTATTTTTCAGCTCTATTAGCAGCAAAGGATTATAATCAGAACGGTAAGTTATCGAAAAAGGTGTGTCGAATACCACTACGTCAAATACATTCTTATTAGAAATAGAATTATCCATAATAAACAATACAAGTTTGACAATTTATATATTCATCTTATTATAAGATTACTATTTCAAAAATTATTACATGTACATAAGTCGATTTCTAGTATTTGCTATGAAAACATTTTATAACTTCACCCAGTAATAAAAATAGCTAATGAATAAGAAACATTAGTTTTAAAGAAATAGCTTAAAAAACACGAAACTACATGCTGAATTGTTTATTGTAATGTATCCTTATGTCCGTATTTACAAAACATAAAACAGTGGTGAGTCATCAGCGTAAATAATGATCAATTGTGCTGCAGATTTGAAGTAATTCTATTGTCCGGTTAAGAACTACACCTTCCTCATTCCCCATAAGACCTATATTCAATATTACTTGATATTAAATATTCTTTTAGATGTATCACCAAATTTTGTAAGATATTTAAAATTAAATAAATTTGTTTTGTTATAATTGGTAAATAACTTTATAATTAACTCTTATGTTTTATGTTGCCTTTTTCAGGTTTCAGCACCCCTGTGTTTACTGGTGAGAGTAAATATATTATATATATTTAAATTAGCAATGAAGAGATTTGCTTCTCATGAAAGAGAAAACTAAACTGGTTCTATTTTAGGAGATCCCAAAGTTTTGCACCAGTAGTACCAAAGAACGCCATTTGTTATTATCCTGAGCTACTTTTTTCCGCTTTCCACTATTAAGATCTATTTTTAGAACATTTGTCTTGGGAATAATATGTTCGGGAAGTTTGAAATTATATATCAGTACCTACTTAGGCGACCCCTGCCAAAAGTCTTTAATGTCATAGTAAATATATACAATTACAAAGCTTAATTGTATTATATAAAAATAATGATCTCATCTAGCAATTTTATGACGAGAGAATGCAGAAATAGGCTTGTATCGTGAAAAAACAATTGAAAGTCGTTGTTCGTTACACGAGATATTCTCGTCTTCATATGTACATTCATTATCCCAAGTTTATATTTATAACCAAAAAAACTAGCATTATACATCTGAAATTATGTATTTATTAATCTAAACTTGATATATTCTTGTATAAAGTTTTATTTGAATATTCTAATTCTAAGTAAAAACATTCTGTTTCAGAACATGAATATATAGAACATCTGACCGGTAAGAGAAATCTCTTGTAACAAGTCTGTATTTCACTCTTGAGGACTACTATACCTTCCTTTAAAAAAGTTATTCTTTACGTAGGCTCTAAGTTCATGCAAATGTGTATTTACATTACAGTAAGAATATTTCCTGACGTATGTCGTACAAAATCAAATTTCCAATGATGGCACGAAAAGTGCCGAAATACATAACCCAAGATATTGTAACATTATATTGAGTATTTTGTATTGTGCTTAACGGAAAACAGATCACATTGTTAAGCTAAAGACGACGGTTTATCACAAATAAAGTCAATTTAATGAAGTGAATATGATACTATGAAGGCATTCTCTGACTAAAAACGTGTGTGTTTCTTTACAGCGCAAGCACGCAGATATGCTGAAGGTAAAATATATGTGTTTTACAAGTAAACGGCTCTTAGACTCTGTGAAATCATTCAGAATATCAGGTTTAATTATTTTAACGGTATAAGCGCCAATGAATTTACTCTTCCTATATCTTTAAGAATTTTATACTGTAAACTACAGCTAGGTCTATCAAATACTTGTAATAACTTCAGTATGTTTAGTTGATTTCAGATTGACGCTAAACGTTACCTGAAACACATTTCTAGCCTTTTCTTGGCTTTTGGATGATCAAATATATGCTTTAATAATGAGTAGCTGCTGCTTGGTACTGTAGATCGCAATTTTTATTATCTACAAAATCAAAAGAAAACAAATAAACAAATTTCTTTAGTTTTATAGTGTCTCAGCAAAATTTCTTCAAATTATTATCACTCTTGCGGAGAATATCAAGTTTGAACTTGGTAGGTTTATTTCGGACCTTCGTGTACAAGAATATTTAGAAAGTTATAAAACTCATAAATGGTATGCATATTTCATTTGAGTACTGTGACAACGGAAAAACGGAATTATAGAAGTGGACAATTAAAAGAGAAATATACTCTGGTAGTAAAGTTGTTAAATATGTTTTACTTATGGATCTAAAATATATTACGTGACTCTTAAAATTTCTTGCAATTTTAAATTTCTTGAGAGAAATTGTGTCTAAGCTATGCTATTAATTATAAGTGTACAGGGATCGTTAAATAATATTTAAATCTGCTTTAACAGAAGCTCAAAAATCTTCTGCAGCAAACCAATTTTTGCGCATTAAATTCTCGCTCCCTTTTGTTTAATAAGCTTATATAAATAGTACAAGTTCGTTATACTGCGATATAATAATTGATATCTAAATGATACAAAAATTAAATGTAAATTTTAATGACATTTTGTGGGTAATATATTAACTCTAAGAAATATTGTATATCTGCCATCCTTAGGACATAGATATTTAAAAAAAGTATGAATTACATACAATATAAGAGCGAACACTGATTAAAAACAACTAAAATATTTATTTTTAATTTAAAGAACCCAATGTTTATAAAAGGCTTAGGCATATATCCAATATTTAGGATATTGGGCATAATGAGAGACTAAAATATTATATTGTTTTATACAAGTATTTCCTTTTGCAGGTAATTCCTACTTTGGATATCCCAGTAAGTTATAACAACAAATTTATTTTATATATACAATAGCAAAGCAGTCCTGCTACATGCCATGCAGGTCTCTTGGGGGGGAGAGGGTACAGCCCCTACTCATTCTTGATCTCAATACTAGACAGGGGTGAGTGGTCAGCAACACACCCTGTCTGCTCTTTTAAACATGCTCATGTATATATATATATATATATATA